GGTGCTATGGTTTGGATGTGGTTTGTCCCCCAGTGATTCCTGCCTTGGAAGTTTGGTCCCCGTTGTGGTATTCCTAAGCAGTGGCAGGACTTTTAGGGTGTGAAGCTTATTGCAAGGTTATTAGATCACTGGGGACTCTTTTCTCAGAAAGGATAAATGTAGTACCTATGTGATAGGTAATATTTGTCTGAGTCTCTCCCACCCCCAGCTAGAATGTAAGCTCTGTGAGGAAGCAGTTCTTTTTTAATTTACCAGAGTATACCTCAGATACCCAGAAAGGTCCCTCATGTGCAGTAGGCATTCAGTATATGTCTCTTGAATGCTTGAATGGTTTTATGACTAAGAGGTTGAAACCTCATTTTGAAGACCCAGTTTGAAAAATGCTGGCGTAGTAACTGTTCTCAATCCTTAATATTCTATTTGAGTTTATTTGAATTATTATATGCAACAAACTCAGGTGTCTTTTTTTGGAAACAAGTTCTCACTGGTTGAGGCTGCCTTAAACTCACTATGTAGCCCAGACTGGCCTCAAACTCTCGGCGATCCTCCTGCCTCAATGTCCCAAATGCTGGGATTATAGACATGCACAATAAATTTACTGGAATGAAATAAACTTCTTAAATTTTTAATTATTTTCAAGTAATTCTGTTCAGTTAGAATTGGTTTGTCCAGAGTGCTTGCTGTAGTCTCGCTAATACTAAGATAAGTGAAAACAGAACAGTATTTTTCTGACATTGCCTCTTATATAACTTTGAAAAACAATCAGGTACTATTAGCACTTTATGTTTCACATTTTTCCAGGTACAAATATATTTTTAAAAAATCATACTATGATTTTAGCCTGTATCCCACAACTTACACGTTTTCCCTTTTGTGTTCGTTTTGTGTTTGTCATGGCAGTGTGTGTGTGTGTGTGTTTTGCACCTGGTATTCTGCCATGGACACTGTGCTTTGAAATGCAGCACAGCATGGTTGGTAAGAGCATGCGTGTAAACCAGAATGTCTGGGATAAAATCCCAGCTTTACTAAGCTTTGGGATCCTGGGCAGATTAATTAAGTTCTCTGTGTTTTCTCATCTTTAACCCAGGAATAATAATAGGAGCTACCTAACCAGTATTACATTATGTGACATTTGATACATTTGGGCATATAAATGTTAGCTGTCATTAATAGTACATACTATTTTGTACGTTCTTGTTTAGTCTCGTCATATAATACCCTTTTTCTTCCTTTGAGTCAGGGCAGTCATGGAATTGAACCCAGGGCCTTCACACTGAGCTACATCCACAGCCCTTATTACTCATTCTAAGACAGAGTCTCACTAAGTTGCCCAGGTGGGGCTCAAACTTCCAATCCTGCCTCAGCCTCCCAGAGTGCTGGGATCACAGGTGTGTATCACCACACCCAGCCAATGTCCCATATTTTGAAAGTGTTAACATTTTATTTCATCAGTCCCATATTTGATATGTATTTAAGGTGTTTCTTATTAACTATTACAAACAGTAATCACAAGCCTATGTGTTTATACATTTGAATAATTATTTCCACAAAATGAATACACAGATGTAGACTGAGTCTCAAATATAAAGATAAACCCACCCCAACAATAGTTCAGTGTTTCCTCATAGTCTTGCTATTGCTGGATATTACCAGGCTTAAATATCTTCCTTTGTTTTCCTCTAGTGTTCTCTGAGTGGTGGGTTTATTCTTTATCCTCCTCCCACACCATACTTACAGTTTTATTCTCTCTGAAATACAGTAGTGTGCATAATGTGAGGTGATCTGGTTGTTTTATTTTATTGTTTTTGTTTCAGAGTAGTTATTCTAATACTTGTTTTTTTTCCCTATTGATTTAACGCTCTACCTCTGTCATATAACAAACTTCCATACCTACCTTTATCTTTTTCTGGATTTGTGTTCTCTGATTTACCTGTCTGTTTTTATCTAAGTAAGTACTGTCTGACTTTAATCACTGTAGCTTATAGTTTTTGATACACTAATAGCCCCACTATGGTCACTGAAGTATATATACATTGTTTCTTTTTCAGAAATAATTATTTTCATAAATACTTTTTTTTTTTTTTTTGGTCTTTTTTTTGAGATAGGGTCTCACTCTGCAGTTCAGGCTGGCCTTGAGCTCACTTTGTAGCCCAGGCTGGTCTCGAACTTGCAACCATCCTTCTGCCTCAGCCTCCCAAGTGCTGGGATTACAGGCATGCACCACCATGCCCGGCTGTAGATACATTTTTGATTAATTGTATTTGGTTTTGGAGTATCCACTGGAATTTTGTTTTACAAGGTATTAGAAGTATAGATTTGGAATGCTTTGTATCTTTGCAATATTATTAGAATTTAAACTTTATTCATTTAATCAAGACATTTTAATAGGTATTGCACATTTGTTATATTGTGTGTTCTATAGTTTTTGTTTTTTTTTTTTAGAAAACATATAACTTTATTGAGAGTTTTAAGTCAGATATAGCTTGCGTTGTTTTGGCTAGTCTTTATTTACTGCCTTTCACCCGCTTCTGGCACTTGAGCAGGCTCTAGATCTGATACAGGCTCTGCCTTGACATCAAGGGCATCTCTCTGTACCCTTCTTCTCTCCTCCCACCTGTAGCAGCCTGACATTCAGTTGGTAGCGCTTCTAAAGTTGTTCAACACTAGGTTGCTTGGCAACCAAAAGCTTAACGGGTTGAGAAGATTCTTGTTTATCCTCTAGATTTAGATGTTGATATGACTTGCTGGGTTATATTTCATGTGGACAAAGAATGAAGAGAAAAAATGAAAACTGCAGAGAGATTCAAAACATAACCTCCTCTGGCAACATTCTGGTTTTTTTTTTTTTACCATGTTGAACATGCTGTCTTTTTCCATTACTAGTTGATTACATATGTCTGGATATAGACATACATTTATCATACCTTCCCACAGTCTTACACATATTTATATATCCCTTTACTGTAATATTTCTAGATTTCTTAGATTTTCTAACTATAGAGTCACATCTATATAAATAATGAATTTCATCTTTCTAGTGTTTATATTACTTCTTTTAAAATTTATCGTGGACTGCAGCCTAGAATGATGTTTAATAATGGTAAGGATAGGCATCTTTGTTGATTCTGTGGTTATATAATTGCACTGGAAAAACATTTAGTGAATGATGGTGCAGGGTTATTAATTTCTAATCAGCTTTATCTCAAATCTTTTACATGAAACCAGAGAGTACTTTAAAAGTGTAAAATCTTTCACTACTCTGAAAACTGTATGAACATACTTTTGGCTAAGACTAAGGAATAATAACTCTCTGAATCCCTGGAAGTTTACATGTAAGGTGAGAGAGCTGTGTCCTCCAGTAAAATGGCACATTCGAAGTTATGACTGACCAAGTTTGTTTTCAAAATTATGTGACATGCTGGGGGTTTTGGGGCTTTTTTGGAGGGTGGCACACTGAAGATTAGTAGCGTAGGCTTGACCTTCCTTGATATTCCTTTATTTGTAGCTCAGAATGGGTGCACAATGTGGCGGTGTGTAGCTAAAGTGGGCTACTAATGTGGGCTAGACGTCCCCCAGCAGTCTCTCAGCCGCTTCTTCCCTCTAAGTGAGCCGTTGCAAGTGCTGATCTTGTCTCTGTGACTAAGGCTAGCGCGTAGGTGCAACAGATTATTCCAGTGCTGGTGATTTAGTTAATTCCTAAAGTTTAGTTCCACAGGGCAATAAAAGCCAGAAATTTTAAATAATTGCAAATATAATCAAGAATGAAATGTCTTAGCTTATTTTTCTTTGACCTGTTAGCTGGCTTTCATTCACAAGTAAAACATGACACTTTAGGTAGTTACTGCAGAAAGAGCTTTTATACTTTTTCTTAATACTGGGGGAAAATTTATGTTTTGCCTACCTTACCAGTTTTTATATTTACTGGTTGTAAACTTTTTATTTTGTAAATTTAAATTTTGGTTGAAGTAACTGCTTCATTTCTTAATAGTTTTTATCTCTCATATCTTTTTCCTAATTTAGTTATGTCAATATTTGAACCAAATTTTGTTATTAAAAATGTTACCCTTAAGTTACTCTTATAGGATGACCCATTGAGGTTTTAATTTATTGTTTCTTCATGATTAATGTCAGAACATTTGATCATTATAGTCTGAAATAATGTGTGTCTGCGTGATGCCACCATGTAATCGTTACAGTGCTGACTCCATTTCATACTGTGATGGATGTGATCTTAGTGGAGAGGTCCTGCAGTAGCGACTCTGAGAACACAGTCCTCATTTTAGAGTGTCTGTGTCTGTTCCCCTTCCTAATAAAGCTTTTTCTGTGTAGCCTTGGATGAGTTACTGAACCACTCTGCCTGTGCTAGAAATAACAAGCGGGCCTGCGGACCCTGTTTGAAGTGCAGTGGATAAGCTCATTGGTGTTTATTAAAAGCCCGTAGGAGACACGGTGCTAGGATAAATGGTAATAATAAGGAAATGACTACGACACTTATATTTTTGATGCTTTTAAAGAAACTTGCATTTAGCGTGTCATATTCTCAGTAGAATTTCTTGTCTCTTTTGTACATTTAGATCAGAAAGAAAAGGAAATTAACATAAAACTGTGTGGTAAGCACTGTACTGGACTCTTTGGTTGCATCTCCTCATTTAATTTTTAAGTCTCCATCTAAACTGTGAAATGTATTAGTTGTTATTTCCATTTCATAGACAGGGAAGCCAGACGTACATAATAAACTTGTTCTGTGTTACAAACATAGCAGGTGCCAGAGCCAGGCTGTGAGCTCACATCTTTGTATATTTCTAAACTAAGCTTTATGGTGTAATGTCTTCCGGAATACTTCTAAATGTCGCATATGTTGAGGAGAATCTCTACCAAAGAAAGTCAGTAACTACTAATGAAGAATTTATATGATCTTCTGAGCAGAACCATTAATATGTAAGAGATGTTTTTAAGTATATTAATCTGCCTGTTATATCTCTTCACTGATTCTTTTCTAGGATGTTGGCAAAGGATGAACTGATGACTATTCTTCAGAAATGTTTCAAAGTTTTTAATTCCTCTTCTGAAAACCAGCTTGGCAGCACAAGAAAGAGAATAGAGGAGTTCCTGGCCCAGTTTCAGAGCCTTGGTGGTAAGAGTATAATATCCTGTAAATTCTAGAGGCTGTGACAGTTATTTAACTGAACTGACATGGACAAGCCCTTGTTATGCTGTGCTAAGAGATGAAGAAATAAAGTAGATCGTGATCAGTCAGTGTAACAAGCCCCAGAATGCGAAATTGTAGCATCATAAATAGGCCAGATGCTTCTCTTCTAGATTTGGTTTAAACAGTGAAGAGCATCAAATGGAAAGAAAAAAAATTCACAGTTTAAAGGATTTACTTTTTTTTAAAAAAAGGCAACAGAAAGAAATCCAAAAAGTGAGAATATCAGTCCGTCATAATTGAGGGCTTCTGTTAGGTGTTTCTTAAGCATTTTATCAAGTTTTTTAGAGCATTTTAAACTACAAATCATTTGTAAGCCTGAAAAATTAACTACAAACTGCTTCCACAGCAGTGAGGCTCACTGGTGTGCTGATTACCAAAACATGTATGAAGCTTGTTTTAATCTGACTTACAAAGGCTTAGATTTTCCTCTCCTAAATGAAGTGAGGCAGCCCAGCACTTCCCAGTGTTGTAGGGTAAGAGTTTCGTGTATCGTGTATTTTGCATAGCCTCCCTGTAAGACTTGTATTTGCCGAGTGTTTGGAGTGCCTGATTTTATGTAGCTAGTCATTTTCTGCTACAGATCTGTGTTCCAATGGGGCATCATGACTGATACTGATCATTGACTTTTCTGGGCCCTTCTGTTGCTCTACTGCTAACCTAATAATACAACATTGTTCTGATTAAAACCAAATATCTGGTGTGTACCTTTTAATGTACTTTTCCACTATTTTTCTTTTTTTTTTGTCTTTTTTTTTGAGACTGGGTCTCACTAGGTAGTTCAGGCTGGCCTTGCGCTCACTTTGTAGCCCAGGCGGGTCTTGAACTTACCACGATCCTCCTGCTTCAGCCTCCCAAGTGCTGGGATTACAAGCGTGCACCACCACACCTGGCTCTTTTCCGCTGTTTATGGGGAGTTTTAATGGAGGTTATGGAAAGAGACTGCTTGGTAAATAAGTGCAGAGACATGGCACTGTGAAAGTTTGTATTTGGAATGTCCATTTTAATCCTTTCTGTTTTGGAAAGTGTTACTTTGTCTTTAAAATCCTTTGGATTTAGGAACTGCTTTTGCAGAAAGCTCTCCAGATCTCTCCATTGCTCCAGTGCAAGGCATTTGATGAGTGCTCAGTTATGGTAGACGAAAGGGGAAGTTTGAGGAGAGCAGCATGAGCAGATAGGAGGTAGGAGTTCTCCGCAGGCGCTGAGGGGGTTTCCTGCGGGTTAGGTGTGCACACTGTTCTTTTGCTCCACGGCAGGACCTAATAAACTACGTGAAGTGGGGGTGAGGATGTAGTCAGTGGTGAAGCGCTTGCCTAGCATGTGTAAAGCCCTGGGTTCAATCCCTAGCACTTGAAAAAAAAAAAAAAAAAAAAAACGCAATTCAGAACATAAAAATGTTAAAGGGCTTCCTTGAGTCCACTACAGCCAGACACTAAACTCCAGGAAGAGAAAGTAATTTGTTTGAAATTAGACAGTTGGTAGCACCTAGACTAGAGCCCACTTCTCTTAACCACCAGTTCACTTTTTTTCTCACCAGTTCACAATTGTAAAGCCCCCAATTCCTTATGGAATATAAATAGGGTAAAAGGCTTAGAAGAATATGTAAGTTTCAATCTTACACAAAATTGGCCAAATGGGGATTTCTGTAAAAAAGAAACTGCAAATATAATAATTTTTATTTTAATTTTTGTGATACTGGGGATTAAAGTCAGGGTCTTCCAACTGAGCTACAAATTAAAGGAAAACCACCATGTTGAAGAAATGTCTGTATTTCTCAATTTTTCAAAAATCATATAACAAAAGTGTAATCAAACTCCCTGTATTGAGTAAATAGAAGTATTTGACAGTGTGTTATCTCTGATTCTTTACCATTAATTACACATTACAGTTCTGGCTTAGAATTGTAGTTGGAAAAGCTAGGAGAGGTGACCAGTACTCTAGGAGGCTGAAGCAGGAGATTGAGTGTTCTAGTACAACCTGGGCAATTTAACCACTTGAGACCCTCACTCAAAAAATGGGCCGGGCATGGTGGCATACGCCTGTAATCCCAGCACTCGGGAGGCTGAGGCGGGAGGATCATTGTGAGTTCGAGACCAGCCTGGGCTACAAAGTGAGCTCAAGGCCAGCCTGAACTGCATAGGAGACCCTGTCTCAAAAAGACCGAAGGAAAAAAAAAAAAAGGGCTGAGGATGTAACTCAGTGCAAAAGCCCTGGGTTCAATTCCCAGTACCACTAAAAACTTAAAAATTACAGTTGGGGAGGGTTAGGTGGGGCCGAGTGTCGTATCAGATTTATTTTTGAGGCTCTGCTACATGTTAATGAAATGGAGTAAAGAATTTAGTAGATAACCTCAAGTTGTGTTTTTCTTGAGCCAGAAATGATTAATAGCTAAAAAGAAATGTATTCTTTGAAGATAATGTGTATTCCCCAGCTGTATCCCCTTGTCTTAGGTTTGGGGCAAACCAAACATGTGATGTCAAAATTTCTAAGGTGCACTTACACTTGGAAGAGGGCGTCAGAGGCTCATGTGCTGCAGAAGCACAGCTGCACATTTTTACTAGTCAGGGATTTCTGTTCCCTTTGCCGAAGACATACCAAATGTTTTAGTGGACGATTTTACAACTTGTACAAACTCCCCCTTCATACTCAAAAAATTTGGGATCAAAAATAGTGAGTTGGAAGGTGGAAATCAGGTTTGCCAGGGTGTAGTTTGTTATTTACCATCTTAATTTGTGTGATTGTTTCTTTCAAAAAGCTATTTATAGCTGCATAGATATTCAGGGCTTTGTGTTGCTGATTTGAGGGGACTGTGCTGGGTTATATTTTGTTTTCATGGTGATAACACTTTTAAAATTCCATAGTTTGTTTTTGAAGACCTCATTACAGCTTAAATTATATAATATTTATTGACCTTTACCTTCCGGAAGAAACCTTGATTCTTCCCGATGAAACCTTGATCTGATGAAACCTTGATCCTTTGCCACACTGGGGTGGGAGTAAAGATGAAATGTTTACTTCCTTTGGATTAGCACAAATGTTTGTTCTCCTGACTTGGGTTTACCCTCGTTGCTATATAGTGGTTTTATGTTAAAAACAGATGCCAAAGAGGAAGATGCTTCCGGGTCACAGCCCAAGGAGCTTCCGAAGACAGACCTCTATCATCTTCAGAAGGTCAGGTCTCTTCTCTTTTCCTTCTGGTTACATGGTATTTTGCTCTCCCTTTTCTCAATTTGTTGTCCAGATTTCTTTTTTTAAACCACAACCAGAGACAAGCGCAGCTTGTAATTCACGTATAAATTGAACTTCCTGTTTTTCCCCCTGCTATCCTCACTTCTGATGTTCACAGGCTGCAATTTACTAGACAGTGTAGATGAGAACTGTTTCTCTGGTCTCAGAAAAACAAGTAAATGGCACCAAGGGCAAATGGGAACATGGGTGCAAAAAAAATTGTTTTATTTATCAGATGTATTTTTTTTTTATTTGATCAAACATTCAAAAGAGCCTAAGTCATTAGTTTTAGATACATCTCTTGATTTTTTTAAAATGCATATTCACATTCTAGTATAGAGCAGAAATTGACCTACAGTATGTCCAGTGTGTTCTTTTTCCAATCGTTCTAACTTTAGGATCTTTATTTTCAAGATGAAGAACGTTGTTGGTACCGTAATACCAAATTGTAATAAATGACGCAGAAAATTTCAATTTAAGTGAAACAAAACACATGGAGTTTATTGTTAGTATGGCAAAAGGGCAAGGTAGTAGTAGCCAGGGTTGCCATCTTCCTGCTCCTCCTTTTCATCCTCCTCCTCCCTTTTCCTCTTCCACCTTTTTTCTTTTCTTCCTCCTCTTGTTCTTCCTTTTAAGTGAACCAATAGATTATGAATCGTGAACACTCTGTCATGTAACTTAGTATGAAGCAAACTGCCCTTTTCCTCTCTCCCTGAAATTCCACTTGATGTGTATTTAAAGCAGGACATCCAGGAGGAGAGGTTTTTGCCAGATCGCCTTAGAAATAAACAAACCCATTTTGATCTGGTTCTTGTTCTGCACATCCTGCCTTACGGAAAGAGCATCAGCCTCCACCTGAATAACAGTTCCCTCTGAAAGTTTTTCTGTCTCAGAATTGTCAAGAAAGGTGTGTTCTTTCACCCATAGTCCTTACTGGAAATGAAGGAGTTAAGAAAATCAAGTAAGAAGCAAACCAAGTTTGAAGTACTCAGAGAAAAAGTTGTGAATTTCATTGACTCTTTAGTAAGGTGAGTTTTGCTGAAAAGACGTGCTTTTCTCCCAAATAACATGGGTGTGGTGGCTGTCCACAGCCAATCTAGGTATTTTCTCTTCCCCTTTTAGGTTCCTCCAGCACAGCTTAGAATTATTTATTCCCTTTCTAGCCTTATTAAGATGTCTAATGAGAAACTTAGTTCTTTTTCCACTGTCAGTTAAAAACACAGTTTTAAGAGCCAGGCCTGGTGGTACCCACCCGTAATTACAGCACTGGAAGCCTGAGGCAAAAAGATTGCGAGTTTGAGGCCAGCCCATGCTACGTAGTACACAAAAGCAGAAAAGGAAGAAGAATGGAAGGGAAAGGGAATGAGAGGGCAGGGTGGGGGGTGGATTTACATTTCATCCCATCCATTAGGCTAGGTGGGGAGATCTAGGGAGTTACACGTGGTTTTTGCCTTATGATAACAGGTGTTTGACTTACACTTTATCATTGCTCATCTTTTGTAGTAGTTAATGGTGAATCTAGGCCAAACCCAGAAAACAGAGCAAATTTGCCATACTTCTCTATTTTGTCCTGAGCAAAGAACTTCTAATTTTAAATAATATGAGTGCAACTCATTGTAAAAACTGAATTCATGTTGAAGCAGGCATCTACTCAGTAAATGTAGAAGCCTGCTCTAGTTTTGCCAATATTTTACAGTAATTCCTTCTTGGGAAACCTGGATCATCCTGAATCATGGAATCATTTATAAGCCAAAACCAGTTTTATGAGTGTGAAATCACCCGTCTAAACAACCTTTCAGGAGCTTAGGCTATGTTACAGGAAAGAAACGAGAAGTATACAAAATAAAGTGATTTAATACTTTAAAGAAAAAAGGGTATATCATTGCTTATTGTCTTTTAATGGAAGTTCAAACTCAATAGCAGGAGAGGCACTGAACAGAGTAACGTAATGAAAGAATGGCAGCTTAAGTATTGAAAATAAAGAACGGGTTTCTGACAAATAACCTGTCTTTGCTCAAAGTGAAAAGTTCCATGTTCCAGGACAGTGTGAGAGCAGAATCATTGTCCAATTTATCGGAGAGAAAGTATTAATGCTATGAAATAGGGAAAAATAATCAGCCAAGTATGATAAGAAGGTCAAAAACAGAAGTGTATAATAATACAGTGCTGCATTCCAGTATTAAATTGACCTGCTGGTCAAAAATTACATTTTAGAACTGATAGAGTTAACTTTGTCCTCCAAGGCTCTCCTATTCTTGTAACTTCTAGCCCTAGGCTCCAGACTTTTCTTTTTGTCAAGTTATAAGTAAAAATAAATTTGCCAAGTAATTTAGCATCATTTATAAGCCAAATATCAGGTCCGTGAGTTCCTGTAAATCTCAAATTGTAGGCTCTGAAGTCACTCCGGCTATTCCCCTTTAACGGGGAATGATGTTTGACCTAGTATATCTGACTTTTTAACCTGAGAAATTATTGAAACAATGCTGAGCATGACTGAAATGAGTTCTGTTGTGAAACCACAAAGTCTCGCATACTAGCATCTACTCTCTCTACCAAGATTATCTGTCCCAGGAAGGAAGAGATTAGAACTGTAGCATGATAAAGCTAAAAGGAACAAAGGGCTTATGTGGCAGCTGAAGCCCGGAGAGAGGTTATGAGTCTGCCGATGTGACGCAGTCCCGGTCTCCTAATACCCGTCGGAAGGTCTTCTCCATTTCTGCACGCTGCCCCAGTGCCCACATACAGATGTAAATGGACTTGGAGTTCTACAGAAAAGATGGCTTTTAAAAATAAGTATTAGCAGTAAACTTCAGTAGGCAGGATTCACAGTGTATCATGAAGAGCTCTCGGCAAAAGTATTGGCAATCAAGAACGAGTTCCCTGGGCCGGGGATACAGCTCAGCCGCCCGGCGCCTGCCTAGCAAGCACAAGGCCCTGAGTTCAATTCCCGGTTCTAAAAAAAAGAAAAAGTTAGGGGCTGGAGATGTAGCTTAGCGGCACAGCACCTGCCCAGCAAGCGCAAGGTCGTGAGTTTGATCCCCGGTACCAGAAAAAAAACAAAAAAAGAAAAAGTTGCCAAAGAGCCAAGAAAAAAATTACCATTTTCTAAGTTACTGTTTTCACCAAAATTAAGGTCCACTTCGTAGCCCTTGTTCACAGGAATCCTATCAGCTCCCCCAGCGCCTTCTCTCTGGGGGAGAGCCTATCATCTGTTGTAAACTGATCTCAGTCCAAAATGAGGGTCACACAGTGCTGTGGTGCCAGGTTCATCACTTATTTTTTCTCACAGCAGATAAGTTGCAGAAGTGTATTTTTATGCCCATCTCTAAGTCTACAGTTGGACAAAAATTAGGATGTATGCCGCTGTTTTGTCACTGTTTTTCAACAGCTGTAGTCCAGTAGAAACAAAATAAAGGCAGATATTTTGTATGCCTCTGATGGTTATTCTTTGAGGATACCAACAAATGGCCTTCTGCCTTAGGATTTGCCTGAATTTCTAAACATTAAATGTAAAGACATTTAGAAAGAAAAGCCAGTGCGAGGCAGTAGTTTCTGTACTTGATTCTCTCTTGTTCCCTTGTTAGAAGGGAATGAATAGCAAGAACTTTAACAGAGTATTTTAATGACATCATGGTAGTGATTGGGAAATAACTGCACCAGGTTGGTATAGGAAGAATTTATGGTTGGAAATTACAAGCTGGTAGCCACCCAAGCAGGCAGTTAACGTCACAGAAATAATTTCCCCAGATGGTAGCACATTATCTCAATCTTAAGTAATTGAGATGGTAGTAGAATGTTGGCCCTCAGTGAGTACCATAGTCGTTGCAAATGGACTTTATTCCAGCCGACGCTAGAGAAGGAGTGCCGTCTAGGAGCAGGTGGACAGTCTAAGTAGCCCTTGAGGTAGTAAGAGTGAGATGGTGAATAGTGATACGCCTGTTTTTATTTCCTCTCTTCTTCAAAGCCACTGACCACACCAGGCTAGAGCAGATATAGGGACATTTTCTAGGAAATGGTATCCTCCCCAAAAAGGAAAGGCAAGACACTTGGAAAAAAAGATATAATGTCTGTGCTGTCTGAACTGAAGTAGCTACTTTTCTTTGCCTACACTAATAGGAGCAGAGCTAACAATGTCATGTAGCTTACATATATACTTTTAGCTCACGGCTAGACTAAGCCCTGGGAATCTGCTTTATGGAGGCATGTGAGTTAACTATTTTAATCCACTTAGTAATTTATTGCTATCTTTGGTTGTGTGTCCAGCCAGAGCCTCTCCCTGCCAGTTGGCCCCCTCCAGGCTACCTAAGAGCAATTTCCCTGTCATGCCACAGACCAGCTGGTGGGCTTATTATACATTCAAAAAGAACTTCATAATGCCTTGTTTTCTAAGTTCAGATTTCACCAATTGGTTTGCCATTTAGCATATAGGTGAAAAAGAGAATTCCAAATGATGCTGGATTTTTTAAATTGAAATTTTATTAATAAAAGGCTGGCCATGCTGGTGCACACCAGTAATCCCAACATTCAGGAAGCTGAGGCAGGAGAATCACTGAGTTTGAGGCTTGAGCTGGGATGCATACTAAGTTCAAGGCTAGACTGAACAACATAGTAAGACTCTGTCTCAAGAAAACAAAAAGGAAAAAAAACCTTAATGAACAATGTATTTTTCAGTACTCTGAAACTAAAATTTAGTCTTTTGTGCCTTCAAAAGTAAAAAGTAAATCCAGTATATAAATAATTTCTAAGGTATCATTTCCGTGAAAGACATCAGCTAAAATGTGTGTGTATGTGTGTATGTGTGTGTGTGTGTGTGTGTGTGTGTGTGTGTGAGAGAGAGAGAGAGAGAGAGAGAGAGAGAGAGAGATCCAGGGAGAAAGAGATCCAGAGAGAGAGAGATCCAGAAAGTATTCCCTTAACTATAAAATCCCAGCCCGAGGGCTATACTTAACACTAAGAAAAGAACTGAATGTTTGCTATGGAGAGAATGTGGATATCTGTTTTCTAAAGAATTTAAGAAATTCATTAGTATTTTAAGGAATTATACTTTAAAGGTTTTAAGCTTATATGTAATGTAATGTGTAGGGGGTGTGTGTATGTGTGTGTATAGATATATTTCTAAAGGTTTAACTCAGAACTGAAATACAGATATTCCTTATAAAGAATCTAGAGGAATTTTTTTTAAATGTGGGCTGGCTGTGATGGCACATGCCTGTAATCTCAGCCTCCTGGGAGGCTGAGGCAGGAGGATTCAAAGTTCAAGCCCTTCCTGGGCAACTTAACCAGACCCCCCATCTCAAAATGAAAAGTACAAAAAGGGCTGGGGATGTAGCTCAGTCAAAAGCCCTGGGTTCAGTCCTTAGTACTGCAAAAAATAATAACAGTAATAGTAATAGTAATAATGTATGGATAAAGTGCATTTTTGAGTGAAATTGCACTAGATCCACTATTGGGGTTTTGTTTCTTTTGTGTATTGATTTTGCTTTTTAAGTAAATTGTTCAACCCTACAAAGAGATCTGATAAAACAGTTATTACGAAGATAAACCTATACATGTCCAAATGCTGACACCTGACTGGCTATTTCAGAGAATACCTTCTGCCTCCTGAGACGCAGCCGCTCCATGAAGTGGTGTACTTCAGTGCGGCCCACACTCTCCGGGAGCACTTAAATGCTGCTCCGCGAATCGCCCTCCACACTGCACTCAACAATCCTTATTATTATCTAAAGGTAAGAAGCAAATTTAGTTCTCTGACAGTCCAGCTCAGGCTCCAAGCTTCACTGTCATAAAACATTATGTTTGCCGTTGCATTTTAATGAGCAAAGAGTTGAAAACTTAGAGTTGCACCTCTTATATATCTTGTAAAAAGTATTTGGAGAGAATTTCCAACTTATTGAAGTAGGCAAAGGATGTTGCCAATTTTTGACCATATGAAACTGTCTTTGCCTTTCACGTGATAAAACTATAAACTAGGTCATAAGCAGAAGCCTGAGAGTATAATGCTGCTTAGTCTTGTAAAAATAAAGGAAATGTTTCCTGCAGACGTAGCAACCGAAAATGGTCAAACGATGTAGCCTAATGAAATTACTTAACGATTCATGTTGTTTCTAATGGAAAAAAATAAAACTTTTGGATGTCACCTTGGATTTTAAACCAGAGAAAATCTATTTCGGAGAGTATCTGCAGAGCGAGTATAGGAAATGGCCAGCAATCTGCCTCAAAAACGCCTGGGGTAGCAGAGCCACTTGCCTAAAATCCAGACGCAGCTACAAGTCATGACCAGCTCTTTCTGCAAGGGAGATTAAGGCAGTTTAGGGTTTTTAAAACTAGCCTTCTTATGACAGGTAATATAAGCACTGCTAAACATTTAGGATGCTATATGATATGTGAAATAATTTGGGAGGAGTTGCAAGTTACCAACTTAGTTAAGTACCTAGAGGTAACTTCCCAGGAAAGATACTTAAGACATGCTCGCTTCAGCAGCACATATTTAAAAGATCCTTAAGAAGTGGCTTCATGATACCCATGAAGAACAGCTCAGCTTACTGGCTTTCCATTGCAGAATGGCACACAAGCATGCTCAGTATTTTAAGAGAGTACTGAGTCCAAAGAAGTCAGTGGTTTCTAATGATGGTGGTAATAGCTTGAATGATTTCATATTTTAAAAAACAATTATTTTCAATATATAAATCACAAATTAAAATCCTTGCATCATCTTTCTTCTGGCTAATGGTCTGTCACAGAAGAAAACCAGTAGGATTTTGGCAGTCTTTGGGAACATATAATACCTTGTGTAGATTACGTATGTGAGGTCATAGGTTTCTTTTTTTTGTTTTGTTTTGTTTTTTTTTCCGGTACCGGGAATCAAACTCACGACCTCGAGCTTGCCAGGCAGGCGCTGTGCTGCTGAGCTAAATCCCCAGCCCCAGGTTATGTATGTGAGACTTTGTGTTTCTTAGAAGAGCCGTGGATTTCAAATAGGTTGAAAAACACTGATGGTTTCCATAGGGTTTAAGATCTGCAATGCTGAAAAGGTAGTCTTTTCTTTGAGAGACAACTTACACTCTTACTAGTGATATGCTGGTATTTACCAATACAATGTTGTAATTGCTAGAATTTGGCTAATTACAGATGTTGTAAGTATCATTTCATGAACTGTTTCTAAAGAATTCTGTAAACTTTTTATGGCAATCAGAAATGCATTATGATCTAAGTAAATAATAATTTATGATTAAAATGAAAATTTTGCTTGTCTTCTGATCTTACATTTTTCTAATGATAAGGACTTAGAGGGCTTTTAATCAGGACCTAAACCTAAATGGGAATTTAATAGAGGAAATTAAAAATATTCCATTTAGTAGTTTACTAAATTGAGGTGTAGAGGGATTCACTAGTGTCTGATTTTGTTCCTAATCATTTCTAGTACTGTTATTTTTTAGAACGAAGCACTGAACAGTGAAGAGGGCTGCATTCCAAATATTGCCCCTGACATCTGCATAGCATATAAACTGCATTTGGAGTGTAGTAGACTGATCAACCTTGTGGACTGGTCAGAGGTAGGTCAAGGAAAAAGAATAAGCTGTTCAATAAAATATTTTTATACTTTTGGTATTTCTGAAATCGTCTTTTTAAAATAGCTCATCTTTTATTACAAAAGCGTAAGTTGCATCATACTTCAGAAGTTCCTTAGAAAGTAGCACTCAGCAATCCTCCAAGTCTCCCGCTCTCTGACCCTGCTTTCTTCAACCAAGCCCATTCCGTGTTCACGCCAGGTCAAAATTTAACATATGATCTAACCTAATAGCATTAAACAAAAGTTGAACAGTTCAAGTCAGTTCTGTGGTATCCACAGTTATTTATATTACTGACTACTGTTTCTCTTCTTGTATAAAAGAAGTTAGAATAACAGATTTAGAGATCAGGAAGTACAAGGAATACTTGGCAAGGCAACTGCCAGCTGTTGTTATTCTTTAAAACAAGTATGTGTATTTCTTTCCCCATCAGAAGAGTGTTACAAAGATCTTAAGTCTGTTGAAGGCCTTATTTGACAGATACTACTATTGAAAAATAGCTGTAATTGCTGCCTTCAAGAAAAGAGGGCATTCTGCTGGGGTAGGGAGTAAAGGATTCAGGGCTTTCTTTGCCTTTTAACTTCGACTAGCTTTGTTTCTCCTTTTCCTTGCATATGTCTCAGTTCTCTGCAACAAGGTTATTGAGAAACCATGACATTATTTTTCAGTGTATAACTAGTTTCAAATGGTCATCAGTGGTAAGGATTTGATATAATGAAGAAAAGGAAATGTGCCAGCCAGCTATCAGCAGCAGCAGTGGCAAACCAGGCTTAATTATACAACCATCAAAGGGAGTGTGATAAAAGATACTTGGCAACTGTGAGATTTTTTTTTCTCCTCTCTTTGTACCCAAAAGGCTTTTGCAACAGTTGTGACAGCTGCTGAAAAAATGGATGTAAATTCTCCGGCCTCAGAAGAAATGAATGAAATAATCCAGTATCCTTTTAAAACCAGTTCTACAGTGTCCAAGTGCAGAGTGTAAAATTAGTTTCTCGGGCTGGGGGTTTAGCTCAGTTATAGAGCATGTGGTTAGCATGCATGAGATCCAGGGTTCAGTCCCCAGCACCAAAAATGAAGTTCGTACTTTCTCCAGATCTACATTACAGCATTACAGAGATTCATAAAAACAAGTTACTATTAACCATATCATCCCAGAATACCTTAAATTTCTAAAATTCTTAACCTAATCTAAAAGGAGATCAAATCTAAAGTATTTGGTCTCCGATTGATATCAAGATGATATTCCAAAATTTACCAAAACTGGAACTTTTATTATTGAATTCTCTATTTTTCCAATGTATTTTAGAAGTTAAGATGGAGAGCAGTTTTTATACTGTGAAAAATTAGATTTAAGCATTAAGTAGTTTTTCCATTCATATCTTGTTGACACTGGAATAAGATGTCAATCTGGAAAACACTAAATATAATTTAAAGGTTATAGTTTAATTTTTTTGACCTATGTGTCAAAAATACAACACAGCCGGGTGTGGTGGTACATGCTTGTAATCCCAGCACTCGGAAGGCTGAGGCAGGAGGATGGTTGCGATTTCGAGACCAGCCTGGGCTACAAAGTCAGCTCAAGGCCAGCCTGAACTGCATACTGAGACCTTTCCTCAAAAAAAAAAAAAAAAAAAATACAATACAGCCAATTTCCTTAACTTGAATCTCCAGTGCCCGGTTCATTAGAGCTGTTTCTGAGCTAGAACTTTTAGGATTTATAAAGCCTACCAAACGGAAGACTGACCATGTGGCAAGGCTAACATGGGGCGGCTGCTAAAAAGGAAATAAGTGAAGCTTCAATTACCACATTTTGCTTAAAGAGAAAAATGAGACCAGTCATATTTATATGCCACTGGAGAAGACTATTTTTGTGACAAAAATGTAATCCCCTTATGTTTAAGCAGAAAGTACACTGCTAACCCCAAACAGGTGTATATTAAAACTTCGGAGTAGTTTAGAATCCAACAAATAACACGCTTAAATTATAATTAAAACCTCTCAAACATTATTGTACTTTCCACAGTCGATATTAAATTACAAGTAAATCTTCTGGATCACATATATAAATACAGTAAGTTTCTTCATCCAGGAATATACATGATGGGGAGCAGTGCTCCTTCCTCTACCTCTCATTTTTTGCACTGGCATTTGTCACTGTCGGCCCTCAAGTACATGAGTATCCTACAAGGTTGTTTCTTCTGGTGACTACTAGACTGCTTTTGCCTCCCATTCCCTTTAGTCTTAAAACTTGCAAGGTTCCAAGCTGTTTGGCCTTAAAGGTAGTAAATGTTGTACTTCTGGATGACCCATCATGGAATCTTACCGGCAATAAAAATAAATTTCTGTTATGTGAAATCACTGAGTCTATGACTTACCTTTACAGTAATTACTTCAACATAGTTTCTCAATATTCGACTCCTCCTTCAGTCAAATGTGTCCTTAACCATGTGTTTTTGTATAATGGTTGCTAAAAGTCCAAAGAATATGTATGTGATTTTAAGGATTTTGTTCCATTTTTGCCTATTTAAGTGAGGCGGTCAGCCACAGGGAAGGTTTCCAGTACTGTGTTAATAAGGATACTGTCAATATATCCAGTGTGGTTTCTTCCAGCTTTTAACTGCAAGCACTATATGAAATTGTTTAGGAACCATTTCTTTAAACAATATTCTACAGCAGAGGCTTACAGTAGAAGGTACAGAGGAACTGGCCTCAAAACCCAGCAGATTTACCTCAGCTCAGGCACAGGTTCCCGGAGGTAAGTGGCCCTGCTGTACTTTTTTCTACCGGGTATTTAGCTGAACTCATGTAATCTAAATGTATGTAATGGGGGCTGGGGATTTAGCTCAGTGGCAAAGCGCCTGCCTGGCAAGCGCAAGGTCCTGAGTTCGGTTCCCGGTACCGGAGAAAAACAAAAACAAAACAAAACAAAAAAAAGTATGTAATGCAGTGAATCATGTTGATTTTCTTGTCTTACTTAAAGATGGAAACAAAAGCATGATGGAAACTGCCCCCTTTTCATAGTGAGTACCCTAAATGAAATGAAATGAAAAAACATGAAGCCAACTGTGATAACTATCAGTGGAGCCTATGAAATAGCAGTTTTGTTTTGGTTCCTTAATCCAGGAAAACTGACAACCTCAAGCAGAATTTACAAAGGGAGTATTTTTACTCAATCATTTTGTTTAATAGACTACTGATGTGAAAACTCTGAATTAGTTGAATTTGATTCAGAAAATACTATGTGCTAGGCCCTGTTGTAGGCACTTGTGGCACTTCAGGAAACAGACACTTGCTTTTATTGTACTCTAGCAGAGGGAGAACAGATAATTATGTTAAGATTACAGAAAAGAAACAGCAGTGTAATAAGCAGGATGTCAAGTTGCAATTTTAAACGAATTGGTCAGAGCACGCCTCACTCTAAGATGTCTGAACATTTCCGAAGTGGTGAAAGAGTGACCGGTGAAGTCTTCTGAGAAAACACTACAGGCAGAAAGAGCACTGAAGGACTCAAGTCCTGAAGCAGAAGTATGCTAGCCCCACTGGAGGAGCGGCAGAGATAGCCACTGTGGGCAAGGCACAGCAAGAGTTCAGTGGAACTGAATCGGGTGGGCTGGAATGCAGGTAATTTAGGGCTTCGTAGACCATTTCAAGATCACTTTTTCTTAGCTAGGAAACAATAAAAGGCCCTTAAATAACCACTCTAGATCGTGTGAGAATAGAAACAAGTAAGGCAAAATAAAGACCAGTTAGGTAGGTGGTCACTGAAATTAGCCAGACAAGCCGTAATAGTGTCTCACACTAGTGTAACAGTGATAGAGATGCTGAGATTTTAAGTGGACCAAAGTTAGATGGGTCCAAGATGGACTTTGGCTAAGATAACGAGAAGCATGGAATTGCCAGTGGTTAGGGCTTGCTGTGGTTTGACTAAGTGTCCCCCAAAAGCCCGTGTGTCTCCAGAGTAAAGGCTTGGTCCAGCATGGTGCTACTGGGAGGTGGTAGAACCTTTAGAGGTGGGGACTAGTGGGAGACTCTTAGGTCACTGGGGGTGTGCCCCAGGGTAACTGTGGGACCCTAGCCAGTCCGCTTTCCTGTTTGCTTACTGGCCAGTGTAAGTGGTTTTGCTCCATCATGGACTCCTGCAATGATGCACTGCCTTACCACAGACCCAAAACAAGGAGACTGATTTATCACAGACTAAAACTAAAATGGTTAGTCAAAATAAACCAATTCTCTTTATTAAGTTGATTACCTAAGGTATTTTTGTTACAGAGACAGAAAAGTTATCTAATGTGGGTATTTCATTATACTGACAGAAAGCTAATACTGGGATCCTTGAGAGGAAACAAAAGGAGTTTGGTTTAAGCCATAAATTTTGAGATGTGTTACTAGCTAGTCACAAAGGTATGAATACGATCTGCTATCCTTATGATAAAAATGAGATCACTAAGTATGAAAAGATGAGGCAAGGTGCTCGGGGACATGCCCATGTTTATTAAAGTTCAAGGAACTAAAGATTGGTCCAGGAGGAAAAGTGAATCCTGAAGAGCAGCCAGTAACAGACAAGCCAACTGAGGAGTATCCAGGTAAAGTGCTGTCTGTTGATTAAAATTAGCAATTTAGAAAGCTTTGATGCCAATAGTAGTGTAGTAGTCAAGATACAGCCTAAGCACATGTCCAAATCCAGCATTCACCCTGGAAAAGCCATGTATTGTATGATGTGCCAGTGGAGCCCACTAGCATCCCCCTGTACTTTTGTACAAAGTTATTGTACAAGATTAAACATCAAAAGGTTTAATCTGAAAGCTAAACCTTTAGACCTCACTTCTAGTTTATAGCAAGTTCAAAATGGTAGCACAAGGAAGTACTCAACAGGCCTGGGTCTCTCTAGAACGTTGGAATCTTAACTGAATCCCAATGATGAGAAGGCCGTAAAAAATACTGAGGTGACAAACTGGAAAAAATGAGCATGGACCTGATGTTAAATTCGGGCAGTATTTTTCAGTGGGATAACAGTACTAAGCTGAAGTACACGATTCTTAGGAGATACCTGCTTAGTAACTGTCCAGTTTAAGTGGATCACTCTAGGAAGACTCTTCCAACTTTCCCGTGTATAAACTTTTTCCTAAAACAAGTTGGTGGAGGATTGATTAGAAGATGTTTAGAAAATTGAGTTTTGTTATAAAGGGCAATAATAAAGAGTAATAGCTGGAGGAGGGACACAGAATCAAGTTTTGGATTTTTTTTGTCGGGGGGGGGGGTTGCCACACTCAAGATTGAATACATTACCACTCATCTATATCCCCAACCCCTCCCCCTTTTTAAATTTTGAGACAGGGTCTCATTAAACCTGAACTTGAACTTGTGATACTCCTGCCTCAGCTTCTGCCAGGCCCAGCCTCAAAAAGTTCTAGTAACATTCATTATGCATGTGAGGATGAGACAGTAGAAAAAGTGAGACGACTACCGGAGCCATGACTGAATGAGATGTGGTTTGCATCTCATGTACCTCATCTAAGGCAGGTGGATGCAGTGAAGATGGACAAGGATAGAGTTCTGCTCTAGCAGAATATTCACTGAACACCAATGAAGAAAGCAGCCAGAGACGAAGTCAGCTGTTTCCAAACCCTAGCGGCTTAGACCACGTAGCAGCATATTAATACAGTCAGCAGTCTTCCTTGTGCCCCCCGTCATCTAAAGCAGCCTCCTAAGTAATACTGCTGACAGAACTGGTTTAGGAATCATTCTCTTGGTATTTTCAACCTCCAGTATTTATTTTACTCACATCACCTACTTTTCCTCAACAATACAAAGAAATGTACCTAGCTATACATGTCCTTGTTAATCCAAGAGTTACTGGGCAAATTTTAATTAACCAATTAACAGCACCATATCACAACTGACTTTTCTAAAAGAATTAAGATGACTGTCAACTGAATTCTGTATCTACTTAGTGACAGCAATTCCTGGGACTGTTGGGAATTTAGAATCCCTAAAGAATGTAATCTTTCTACTGATACTATATGTTGTTGGTACGTAGACTAACCAACTGCTGACTCCATCTAATTGTGTAACAATCCAGGAAACATGCATATTGCTGAAATTATTTTACACCACTTTTAAGTACATAGTACCCTGTAACTAGGGCTTCCTGGTGAACTGATACACAAGAATTTTCTAGGGCAGGGAAATTTATTTTTGATCAAAGCTGAGTCTAAAAACCCTGTAACTTAGTACTCCATTCAGATTGCCAGCACTCTTTCTTTTAGTACCTTCCAACTAGAAAAATCCAGCAGCTCTTAAAAATATGCATTTGTAGAAATTTACACATGCTTAAGAGTATTTTGTCCTTACTGGAGCTAACAAGGGATAGAACATGTTTGCACTGCTTACATTCTCTTAAAAATGATATCCCATTAAACCAGTAGTTCTCAGCTGGGACCATGGTGTCCATGGAGGAGCAGCACCGTGGCAGCCTGGAGACCCTTAGTTGTCACAAGTTGTGGGGAGGGAGGAAAAAGTCTAGAGATGATGGTAAACACCCTGTAACAGGTACGGCCTCCACAACAAAGAATGATCTGGCCCAAACTGCTAACAATGTGGAGACTGAAAATCTCTGTACTAAATCATTAGAAAGTAGATGAATACTTTGCAGCCACCCTGTGCTATAACCAACGTTCCTCAGACACTTAATGGATGTAAGAAACCTGGTAATCTCATGAAACCCTCTCACCACTCTGAGAGCTTGTTTTAAACAAAGAATTGGTGATATACAATTACCAAAAAAATACTCCACTGCTTTCTTCCCCTAATGGAGTCAATTATGAGTATGTATGTCCTGGAACATTTAGGATGTGTGTAATATGGGAAACAGGCTATTAGAATTCCACAGAATTCACTGGAGCATTTTTTTTGCTCACTTCATTACAACAAAACTATGTTTGGAAGCCATGCATGTAAAAATGCATTAGATTTGCTGAATCATGCTTTCATGTACCAAGTCCCTTTAAAAAACTGGGCTACTGATACCTTAGTAAAAATTCCACAACTGTTAGCACTATTATATAACATACTATTATGTAGTAAATGTTAAAGAAGCAATTTAGAATCAGTGTCTCCAAGTAGCACTCAAATCTTAAAATCTTCCCGGAAAATTAACTTCATTGATTTTTGGAAAATGCTTACATTTAAAACACTGGCTTTTATTCAAATACTACTCATCTGTAACATTTAAAAAACAAGCAGAATAGAAGTAAATGTTTTATTCTTCCAACTAAATTCCAGTACTACAAGGGCAGTAAAACAATGATACACTGGAAAAAATGCAGCAATAAACATTTGTTAAAAAGACTGATAGA